ATAATTGAGTCAAGAAAATAAAAAGTACCAACACTTTTATCCAAAATTGATTAGACCATAATGCTGCACTATCTTAATTATGACTTTTAAAACCAGCTCATATTATATTGTATCTAAATAGGTTAGTGACAAATAAAAGAAATAGGCAATATATAAAGTAGAGATTAGTAATTGAACAGGCCAATAATATTTATAATCATCAAAATACTTTGTCAAGCTCCTGAATTCCAATAGTTGAGGGAGGGGAATTCAAATCTAGGGGGTAAAAATTATGGAAGAAAATATTTTTTGATGAGAAAATTTTATTAAGGAATTTTACGATATGGGTCCAATTATAAAGGTCAACTTTGGTTTGGGGAAGCATGCTATAATTAATTTTCATTTTTTAATGAGAAAAAATGTTTCTATGAACTACACATGGCCAGTGACAAATATGTTATTCTTTATGCTCTCCTAACATATGTATACATATTTGAATAAAAGAGTATCTCAAAAATATACATGATCATGAGACCAGGTCAAGTTTGTATGTCCCATATGGTTGGGGTTGTGGGAAGTGTAAGCATACAAACACCTCCTTAATATAATTTAAAGGATTTCTATATAGTTTAGAATCATCCGCTTAACAAGATATGTTGCGAGGAGATTGCTTCATCAAAAAGGTGAGTAGAAGATGAGTGTGATGGATAAAGGGTTATTTTAACAATATGATGATGAAAATGTTGAATATGTCATAATTATTGGGAGCGTGGGTAGAGTAGTTAAATGAGATATGTAGATGGAAGTATTAAATGATTTTAGGTGATAATTTTTCTACCATTATCAATGTAAACAAAGTGGATTGGAAGTTAATTTTTTTATTTATTTTGTACTGGTGTTTTAAATTAATTGAAAACATTTCAAACCATGAAGTTTGTTTGAGATTAAAAAGTCATATGTAATGAATAAAATGATCAACAAAAATAATATAATATTTATATCCATTATATGAGATGATAGGATAAGTTTGAATATTAAAAAATAATAGCTCAAGTGGATACAAACTAGTAAGAGAAGATGAGGTGAATGTTAACTTGTGAAATTTATTATGATAAAATAAATTACAAAAAAGAATAGGATATTGGAATAAAATAAGACTTAGTTGGTGTGATTAAAAACTAAGTGACCCAATATTTTGTTGGATGGATGGACAAGAAAAATGATTCACTAACCAAACGAGGTTTTCATTGTCGATAAGGAAATGATTAATGACATTTTAGATTATGATTGAGAACCAAGTGGTTGATCATCTTTCTAGGCTAAGGGTTGAAGAATCTGCATATCATGAGTATGAAATAAATGAATTATTTCCATATGAACATTTATTTGCATTAAATTCTAGTGATTCACCTTCTATACGGATATAGTAAACTATATTATTAGTGGACCCAAAATCTAGAGTTTTATATAGTGTAGTCATTAATAAGGTGTATAGGACCCAAAATCTAGAGTTTGATTAATAAACAACCTTTATTACTACCCCTATAGACGCCTAGGAGATTTTGAAATTTTTGAATGGACCAACTAGTGTAGAAGAATGGAATCTTAGAAGGGGTAATGTTATAAACTTTCTTCCATCTACACTTTCCTGAGTGTCAAAGGCTTGGCACTATTTTATTTAATCCCACTTTACTTCATGCAAAAACATTAGTGAGGTGAGCAAGGATAGGGCATTATTGAACTATGATATTTAGGTTGGTCACTCTAGAGATGTAGGTAAAGTTATATATTCTTACCTCATGTATATGATTAGGGGGTCCACATATGTTGGTTTTTGGCAACCTTTCTTGATTTACTCCATGTGGTTTATAGGTGTTTCAGGTAAGTCTAGGGAAGACCATCTCTTCCTCATTTCTACCATAAAAAAAAAAAAGAATCATTTAAGGAAAATACTCAGGTAAAAGGGAAAGGTCCTAGTGTACCAAGCCGGCCTAATTCCAGCCTGCCTAGCTCTAGCAGCATAGTTCCAGTCAATCTAAGTAGATCCCCTTAGAAACTAGGAGAGTAGGTAGCCGATCTCAGGGATCAGGTAACAGGTATGCATTCATACTATGAGGATAATTGCTAATGGCAACAGGGTATGAGCCATCAGATGGATTATATGATGGATAGTGCTCAACTAAAAATAGTTCTCATGTTCTTTTTCTTGATCACAATGTTATATCCCAAAGCTAAAAAAAAAAAAAGTGCACTCTTGCTCACTCATATACTAAAATAGAACATTGTTCCATTGTTTTTGTCATCATTGAAATTACCTTGTTATAATCGTTACTTGTAAACTTAACATCTCTCTTCCACTTATACATGCCATCTTTTATGATAATATTGGCACCAACAACTGATGTGCAAATCCAGTTGTTCACTCTCGCATTAAATACATTGCCATCAACTTCAACTCCATTCGATAAGAAATTTAAAATGGAGATATTTGTGCATATATTGTATTTTCTTATGATCAACATGCAAACACCTTGATCGTGCTACGCATCACTGGCTTGAAAAATTTTATGTCAACACTACTAAAAACTAGATGTTTTTACAGCAGTTTATAACAGTGGCTTATAAACTGCTGCTATAAATAGTTATAGGCAGCGATTTTCACCGTTGCTAAATTTATTATTAAAAAATAATATTTTTTGCATCATTCAATATCAACTTTTTGAAACCGTTGTAAAAACTATTTTAAAATTATTGCATTTTAATATCCCGCTCAGCTTCCGTCTCGCTTGCCCAGTTTCCCTCCTCATTCTCCCCCTCTCGTGCCCTAGTCTCAAGGGTGAAATCCTTTATTTCGAACAGTTTTTACTCCATCAGCTCTACTCATGCACCTTGTTCTCTCGTTTCGTCTGCGGCAAAGCCAAAAGGTTGAAGGCCTCCTCTCTCTACCGCTCGCTATTATTCGCACGCCGCAGTCGAATCAATCTTCTCCTTCTTCTTTCCCTAACCGATTTGCAAACTCTGGTATTGCTAATAATCTGGCTTCTCCAAGGAATTCTTGATGAATTCTTGTCAAAGGGTACAAGGCGTGTTTCCTATTCTGTGCTATGATTTTGAAGTTCTGTCCAAATTGCGCAGTTGAGGAAATTAATGAAATTTGGGATTTGGATTTGGTTAATTTGGGACTATTCTGTTGGTAAGCATTAAACCACATGAAAGATATGAATTTTGTCACACATCTGCCAAGCAAAAAATATGTTGATCCATATGAATTTAAGCTCTTTTGGTTGAAAATGGGGTTGTTCATTTGATTTATTAGGCCCAACGTTTTCTCTCTTTGAGTTACACTCTATCACACTAAGCCTACTTACGACCGCATTCAAGTATGTCTAATTTGTTCAGGCTTTGTTTCTCAACTTAGTAGTTAAAGAGAACTTACATCTTCTCTATAGCTATAGTTGTGGAGTCGTGGTAATGATGTAGCATGTTTGGATGGTTTGAATCTTCTCAAGCAACCACAACTACCATCATCGAGGTGATTTATGTATGGTTGTTCATAATAAACTACTTCTATACCAATCTGATTGGCATTTCTTGTTTATTACTTGCAGAACTCTTTTCTTTGAATAACTTCATCTGGTTGTTCATATTGCTTACTTCTCTAGTGATGATCTGACTTAGAATAAGGTAGATAGGATAGAATAATGCTATCTTTGATTCAGATTACTTAGTTATGTTTGATTTTGGTTGACGATCAAAATCTTTAATCATTTATAGCATAAGGATACACCTTTTTCATGTTTTCTTGGTAGGAGATTGAAATTAAGGAACTTTGTTATGAACTTGGAAACGATGAAATGTTTATATGCTTGGATTATGATATTGTAAATTTTTTGCTTTTTGGGGAATTGAAATCAAATAGCAGTGTAATAAGAAAAAGAATGTAAGCATCAAACTACAAGCTAGATATCTGTTAATGGAGTTTCATAAGAATGAGATCTTATTGAAATTTCAGTATGGTGTCTGTTCAACATCTACCATTGTTATCTAGTGTTAAGCAGATTCTACTATGAGAAGTTTCTTGTACACTTTCTATATGTATACATTAGACTATTTCTAGCAAACACTTGTGTTATAGTGGGATTCTATTGAGAAGAAATCCACTGTTTTTGTCTATGGTCGAGGAGCCAGCACTACTTTAAATTGATTTTGAGATTCATGAGCTTATTTATGAAAAAAAAAAATCATTCTAATGGCAGCTGCCAAAGCTTATGGAGTTGATTTTTTTTTTCTTATTTATTATCATTTTCAGTTAAAAAATAGAAAGAAAGAAGGCTACAAGAGGGTGAAAGAAAGGATCATGGAACATCACATGAGTGAAAGAATTGATTCATTTTTCAAAGAAGTTCTACAGAATCGTTCTGCTTCAGTTTTCAACACAAAAAAATTCATTTTGTGTCAAAAGAAGAACTTAGCCAATATTGCTTTGGTAGTATTTGAACAAAGGAAACTTATTGCATCATGTAATCTCTATCATGTGTGTTTTGTACCTCACTTTGATTGTGTTTTCTCAAGTTATTAATTTATATGGCTCTTGATTTGTTTGTTAATTTTACAAGATTCGGCCTCGATTAACTGACGATTAATGTAATGTTTACATTCACTAAATTTATATTTGTATAGTATTTTATTTGTATTTATAATTTGATCAAAAATTTAATTTTTTTGCATTATATTTTTTTTAGTCTGTGATGACCTTTAGCAGCGGTTTTAACCGCTGCTAAAATCACCTTATAGCCGCATTTGTAAAACCGCTGCTAAAACCTTTGTGGCGAAAGCAAATACAGCGGATGTACATCAATTTTTTAACAGCTGCAAATAAATTAGTATATGTTTAAACCGTTATAGTAGGTCATAAAAAGTGCTGCAAAAGTTTGATTTTTTAATAGTACTCTTTTGGGACTCCCAAATAAAGGGATATATATATATATATATAATTTACTTTTTCTCTCAAAATTAAATAGTTTTTGTTACACATGCATTCATTAAAACTTCATATAATTTTACATAGTTTGTAATAGGGATAAATTCTTTATCCAAATTATCACGCTCCACAGTGTAGGGTACTAGGGTTAAGCCAGCGACGCGATTTTGCTCATCGATCCGTGCTGATCAACCAAACCTTGATATTAATCTGCCTAGCTCCATCATTCAAACTTTCACCATCCGTCCTCAAATTCATACTGAAATTACAATCAAACCACTCGTAATGTTTTACGCTGTTAAATAGAAATTGGACGCCTCCGGTGTAATGGCGGATAACGGCGTGTCAGGCACGTCATAAACCTGCACCGCACAATCCTCTCCCAAAAGATCCTCAACCTCGACTTTGGGATCGTATCGCTGCATAACCAGCACCGACGCCGCCGTCGAGAACTCCGGCGATACCAAATAACTTCCCACCGGACCAAGTTCAGGACAATCCGTTCTCTCCACCAATGCCACTGCAACCCTCGCCCTCCGCCCCACGATAAACAAATTAAACCTACCTGCAGCCTTTATCGCCGCCGCCACCTGCACCGTCCCCACAGCCGCCACTTCCTCGTACCTCCCAGAAGTCTTCTTCGATTGGAAGTACGCCACCGACTCTTCGTCGTCGGCGTCGGCAAGGTCTTGCTGTAAAAATCGAAGGACGACGAGTGAGATTCCGGGATGCTCCACCATTCTCACACCATAATCGAGGGCCTCGCGATCATCCGGACCGCCGAAGAAGAGCACAGCCATTGTATACGATACGTCGCTGGATGAGACGAGTGCCGCGCCACCGAGGCCTCGATCAACTAGCACAGCGACAGAGCAGGGGGCGGCGCGGAGAACGCGCTTGTTAACGTTGTGCTGTGCTGCACCGTTTGACTCTAGCACGCCATCAATTCTCTGGAATTTATGGAATGGAAGAATGATGAGAGCAATGCGTTTCTGCTCAGCGCTGGCGATGATGTCTTCGTGGATAGTGTTCATGTCGGAGATTGCCGTCATTGGGCGGATGGCGACTCGGCTGAGCTGTCGGTATGCTTCAAAGGCGACGACCACGTGGTCTTCATCGGCGTCGGTGGAGTTGGGCCGGCGCCAGAACGGGAGGCCGTTGAGGCGGGCTTTATTGACCATGAAGATGGCGGAGGAGCGTTCAGAGAATTCCATTAGGTGCATTGCGTAGACGGTGAGTCGGCGCCGGCGGGTGCCCCGGGATGATTCGATGAGGTTGATTAAAGTTGGAATATTACGGCTACAGTGGAAGCAGGCGAGGATGCGGAGCTCGTGTAACAAGTTGTCGTCGCGGCCAATGGTTCGGTGTTTGTAAGGGGTGGTGGAGTGGCGGCGGCGGGCGGGTTTATAAACTGCCATTACGATGGGAGTGGTGATGAAAGTGGTGAAGAGAGCCATTAGAACGAGGATGGCGAAGCATTCATCGTTGAGAACTTTGCGGTCACGGCCGATATTGAGGACGATTAGCTCGACGAGGCCTTTGGTGTTCATTAGAAATCCGAGGGCGAGGGCTTCGCGAGCTGGGACGCGGATGAGGAAGGAGACTAGGACAGTGCCCACGATTTTTCCGAAGCAGGCGTTGGTTATGACGAGGACGAGGAGACCCCATGAGCGGGCGCCGGAGATGGTGGCGATGTTTGTTTTCAGGCCGCTGGAGACGAAGTAGAGGGGTAGGAGAAGGGAGGAGATGAGGTCCTCGAGCTTTTCGATGAGGACTGTTGCAAAAGGTCCTTCTTTTGGGACGAGGACACCCACGACGAAGCCGCCGAAAAGAGCGTGGATGCCGATGGCATCTGTTATGAAGCCAGCGGCGAGGACGACGGTAAGAGTAGCGCAGATGAAAGATTCTCTGACAGGCTCGCCGGCGGGGGACCGTCGGGCGGCAAAGGAGAGAGCGGGGCGAAGGAAGATGGTGGCGCCGATGACGAAGGCGACGGCTGAAAGGAGGACCCAGAGGGTCTTGAGAGGGGATCCGGAGCCGGAGAGGGCGATGGCTAGGGCGAGGAGGATCCAGGCAGATACATCGTTAACAGCGGCGGCGGACATGGCCATGCGGCCAAGGTCGGTGGTGAGGAGTTTGAGCTCGGCGAGGATGCGGGCGAGGACCGGGAAGGCAGTGATGGAGAGGGAGACACCCATGAAAACGAGGAACGGGCCTGGGCGGACGCCGGGGTTGACGGTGGAGCGAAGGACGACGGAGGTGCCGATGCCGAGGACGAATGGGAGGGAGATCCCGGCGACCGCAATGGCAAGGGCGGTTCTCCCGGTCCGCCGTAAGGCGCGCAGGTCCAATTCAAGGCCCACGAGAAAGAGAAAGAAAAGAAGGCCGAAGTTGGCGAGCGTATCCAGGACTGTTATGCTCCGAGTTGGGAACACGTTATTCAGAAAGGTTTTGTTTCGGCCCAGTGCTGATGGGCCGAGCAATATCCCTCCCTGTATTCATCGCACATCATTATAATTATTAATAATTGAAAAACGAATAATTTGTATGATACAACAATGTAAGCAAATAAATATGGTCACTATATTTTCATCATGATTATCCTAAGAGTTGTGCTGACAAACACAGAAGTAAGAACATAGTGAGAGATTATGGAAGGCTTGAGGTGAGATCAAGGCTAATTTAATTAAAAGCAAAAAAAAAAAAAAAGAAATAATAAAGATACTTCCAAGAAATAAAAATTTTATCCAATTACACCCAGCATGGTAGGATTTTGTATTTCAACGAATTTTTAGTTTTAACTTTGATCTTGTTGCGTGCCAAAATTTTTTTAGAAATTGAGTCAAAGAACTTTTAGTCTTAATGTTGTACAAAAATTTAGCACCTAATAATAAAAAAGGATTTGCAAGAGACATCTGATTTTTTGCATGAAAAGTTCATAAATGGAAAAATCAGGAGGCAGGCTTGGTTGAATTGGTCACAAATGATGTCTTTTATTGAAAGAAGATGTTGATATGATATAATAAATATATAGTATACAATACTTATTACATGATGATAGTTGGAATTGTTTTGGGTCATGAGAGCTATCTTTAAGAGATAATTTGCATGCTTATTTGATAGTACTCCTTTCAGGAGGGGAGAATAAAAATCATGAAATCTATAAAAAATCGTGATGCTAAGAGTTTATGTCAATGTCATACATAGTTCTTACAAGTGATGGCGTATATTGATATAATTAGCAACACCATGTGATGAAATCGACAGGCATTGGTGTAGCAAGTAATAATATTATGAAAACCATTGCAAAGCAAAGATTTTTGGAGGACTATAGTCAAGCGATAATAGTAAGAGGATCATAGTTGGGAGCATTGATGTTTGGAGGACTATATTCATGTTATGGTATTTAATGGACCATATCAGAGCATCAATGATCAAAGGACTATAAGAGGATGATAGTACTCAGGGGATCATAGGGGGCAATATTGGTCGGAGGAAAATATTTAAGTGATGGATGCCATGGGATTATAGTCAAAAGACAAATGTTGTAGGACCATAATCGAGTGATAGGGGTTAGAAGGCTATTATAAATATCATTTTTTTATTTTTGCAAGATAAGTTGTGCATTTAAATTAAACATTAATAGTTTAATTACAATTAAACATAACACTTTCTCGTGAGATCAACACTCTAATATATTATTTTATTATTTAATTCATCATCTATACTTGCATATTTTAGTGGGATTTTATTAATTTTATATCAAGGAAAACTTAAGCATATTTCAAAACAACAAGTCATATTTTAGCCCCACGCCCATCAAGTTTTTGGAGTCGTTGCTGGAGAAGTAACATGCTTTTATTATTTTAATTATTATTTTTTTGAGGCAAGTGCATTTGTAGACCTACTTGTAACCTTTATCTTTATTTTGTTTGATATAAAGTTTGAAATTTCCTAAAAAGCATTTTGTTAATTCTTTGGGTTGTGGTTTCTATTTTAATAGTTCCATCATTGTTGTATGTATGGGAGATCTAGTAAAGAGTCATTGTTATGTAATCCTGAGATAGATCGAACCCTTACAAAAATAATAAAAATAAGAAGATTTTAAAGATCTCTAAATTAGTGCAAGATCATGACCATTCTAGACTACTTAGGGAGTATGTTAACCCTATAGTACAAGGAATCCATCGGAGTATCAATAGACCCACTATCTAGGCCAATAAATTTGAACTGAAATATGTCATAACTAAAAAGGTTCAAAATTCTCAGTTTGGGGGAGTTCTTGTTGAAGTTCTCAACTTACAATACAATTTATTAGTTTCTTGGAAAGCTTATCACCATTTAATATAATAGTATCAATGATGATGTTATTAGATTAAGATTTTTTTTTATTTTCTCTAAGGGAAAAAGCTTTGATGCGATTAAATTTTTTGCTCCTAGACTCTAAAACCACTTGGAATAAGTTGGGTCGTAAATTCTTATCTAAGTATTTATCACCTTAAAAAATGATCAACCTTAGGAATATTATCACAACTTTTGCTCAATTTGAGGGAGAATCAATTTATAAAAATTGATAGAGATATAAAGAAATGCTTTGGAAAATGCCCTCATCATATTTTACCTAATTGGTTAGTTATTGAGACTTTTACAATGGATTGTTAAGATCTTTAGATCAATCATAAATGCTACAACTAAAGGATCTTTAATGTCTATGCCATTTGTGAAAGCATAGAGGAAATGACTATAGATAAATTTTAGTGGTCTATTTGTAGGACGAATCCTAGGAGAGTATTTAAAGTCAATAAATTGGATGCTTTGTCAATTTTTACTGCTCAAATAGCTATAATTTAGAAGAAATTAGTTACTATTAGATTTAATTCATGATAACGATCATTTAATGAAATTAGAATAGCATAATTTTTATACTAATAATGATAGTAGTGCTCTAGGGATTAAAAATGTGAATCTTTTTGGAATGTAAAATAATCTCTATTCTGATCAATACAATCCAGGTTTGAGGAACCATCCTAATCTTAGTTGGTTAAATAATATTGATAGTAATAATCAGTGGAATGCAAGTAAATCTAGTCAAGAAGAAAATTGGAATAAACCTCAATAACCTATAATGAATCCAAGACCTTCTAATCCCACAAGGATTTAATCAAAATAATTAGTTTGGAATAAAAAGACACGTTTGGAAGAAATAGTAATTCAATTGGGAACTCAATTACAAAATCAAGATACTTCAATCAAAAATTAAAAACTCAAGTAGGATAGCTTATAATCACTTGAAGTGATAGACCCCTTAGATCATTGCCTAATAATACTGAAGTTAACCCTAAAGAGAAAGAGAAGGACATTATGAAAATAACTTGATGAGTGATAGTGATGCACCCCAACCAAATTGATAAATCTTGGCAAGTCGGGTTAAATATTATAAATTTACATTGTATTAGGAGGCAACACAATCATATTCTGTGTTTTTAATATTTATTTATTTTTTTATTATGTTTTGTGTTATATTTTGTGGTATATATCTTTTAATTTGTATTATTGCTAAGTCATTCTTTTTTTTAATTTTGACTAAGTTATGATATGTTTCATAAGAGAAAACATTATTATGCTAAAAATTGAACTACCGCTACAACGCTAGGATTTGAAGTGCCACAATGTCTGCTTGTTAAGATTTGCAACATTTGACATTAGCATTGTAGTGTTGAGCTCTCAACAAAATTCATTGAATTACAATGTCACAATATTGTATTCTTGAACACCACAACGGTTTGATACATTCTTGAGCACCTTAGCACTACCATTTCAAGCGTTGCAACGTTACGTCCATTATTTCCACAATTTTTTGTGACAGTACACTCAATAAACCATATAATCATAAATTTTCTTTATAATTCTTTGGTGAGTGTTGCAGCGTTATTACAAGCACAACAACATTATATCAAGATTATTATGACTTCAGTTGAAGAGACACTGCGGTGATCTTTGGTAAATCCATGATGCTCATACTTGTCAAACAATACAGTGGTTGCCTAATCAAAAAGTTCTCGTTTTAATTTCCCATGTGAGCATTGTAGTACCATGTATCCTGTTCTACCGCATTGTTTATCAATTTGACTTGTTTATCATGTTGTGTTTTTAAGCACTGCAATGCCACAATCTCTGACATTACAAGACTTCATTTGTTTATAAATAGAATCTTAAGATTTTTAGTTGTTTCACTACATTTTCATTGTTCTTATATCCTCAAGATCTACATGTTTAGTCTTTACTTATGTGCAATGGCACTTATGATATTTGGAAGACTCATTTACTCTTCTTTTATTTATATCATCATGGGTACTACTTCATTGGGTTTAGGGAACCCTTCTCTGACTTATGCCTTATATTTTATTGTTGGTGTGAGAGTAGGGGGTAGGTGGGACCAAACTATGAAACAACTTTTTCTTATTTATGCTCCTATAAAAAAGAAAATTTTAGGTATGAAATGTGATGATGTGGAAGGTCCTAGTGAACCCAAATCATCTAGTAGGTCTGGCAACAATAGTGGAAGAAGGAGCTCTAATACTCCTAAATCATCAGAAGATCATATGGTAGATTTGTGCAAGTTTTTAGTAACAAAAACCCAAAAACAATAATTTTATTTTAGTAGGATAAATTGTGCACTTAAATTAAATAGTAGTAACTTAATTGCAATTAAGTAGAACACTTTCTCGTGGGATCGATACTATACTCTACCACATTATTACTTGATTCAGCATGTTTCCTTCTTTTTTTTTTTATCTTTCATTTATTTTATATCAAAGAAAATCTAAAAATATTTTAACCGAGCAAGTCATATTATAGCCCCACGCCCGCTAGAGGTAGCAGGAACATAATTGAGTAACATTCATTAGAGAACTTAAGAGGGAGACGAGGGTTGGAGGATAATAATTGGGCGATGGTGGTCAGAGAACCATACCCTGGAGATAGTGGTCAACAATCCATAGTTGAGCAACGGTGGTTGAAGTATTGTAGGAGGGTAATGATGGTTGGAGAACTTTAATCAAGCAAGGGTGGACAGAGGGATGTAGTCGAGCGAAAATGGTCTAAGGATCATAGTAGAGTGATGATAGTTTAAGAAAAGTTGTCTGGCTATAATGGTCAGATGATGTTGGTCGAGCAGTTGTTTGACAGAGATGGTCATAAAGTTTTTTGAAGGTGGCAACCGAGCAATGGTGTAATTTGAAATATGGTTAAATGGTGGTGCTTTGGTGGAGCTCAAGGATATATAAATCTTTTGAACTCTTTTGAATTTTAAGCCAATGTCATCCCCTTCATCATGAGAGTATATGGCATATTTATTGATTTTTTAGAGTGATATGCTCACAAATATAGCCAAAATCTGAAGCACTCTATTGGACAAGCCGTATTGATTTACTCAATCAAGAATATTTCTTTCCACTTTTAAGTGCCTTAGTTAAATTGGAATTAGATGATATTAGGCTTTTTGGATTCGTCATCAAGAAATTCAATCTGATTATAAGAACACGAAATTTGGAGATTGTTTGGTTCTTCAATAAATGTTGCAATGTTTTTCTATCACGCTTCTATGCCTCAATCTAGATTTATTCGAACATGCATTGGATAGGTGTCGTTATATTTTTCCCATCTAAATGTTTAGTTTGACACTTTGACTACAAATATGCTATAATCATAGTTCAAAAATTTCTGAATTTTAATTTGAAAGTTTTCGAATCAACTGTGGAACGGGATTTATATTTGGTCAAATCAATTTTTTTATGATGTATAAATTCTTGTATTATTATTTTTTTGAATAGTCCAAATTGATGTTGCCTTGATTTTTCACTTTAATTCAAGAAAAAATTGGATTGGATCAAAACATTTTTTATTTTTTTTTATTTGTTTAGAATGGATCAAGCCTTTTATTTTTAATTTTTTTTTTAGATTGGATCAAAACATCTTGTGGATTTTTCTTAGGATTTAGGGTTTAAAATCTTTAAATTTATATTACAATAATTTCAAAATAAAATAATAATTTTAAGACATTTAATATCAAATTTAATTGGATATCTTGATCTAACTTTTTTTCTCTTTAATTTATCTACAAATAAATTGAATGAAGAAAAGAAAAAGATTAATTATATATGTGTCTCAAAGTAACTCGTTTTATTTTGAGATATATACAATATTAATTTATAATTAAATATTTATATGTTATATTTATATTAAAATAAAATTAATAATTTTGAGATCAATTATATCTTAATTTATGTGTAGACATTCTAGCTCATTTTTTTACATTAAAGGTCATAGCTTCAATCTTAAAAAAACAGTTTTTTTATTTTAAATGATAGACTTTGCGTAAGCTTGAACCTCTCACGATACAATGTCTTTTCCATTAAATGCTTCAGTCCCCTGTAACATCTCCAAAGTCTATAAATACTGAAATATTTGAAGTCAACCTTTTGAGCTGTAATGCCCAATAACTAGCGTACAATGATCACGTTTGATTACACACCCCATTGGTCAATCAAGCATATTTACCTCAGTATGTTTAAGTTAGATGACCAACTAACATTGTAAGAAAGTTTTAGAATTAGATCAGCTGACCGAAACTAGTTAATATTGTGAACATTTTTTTATGAAATTTTTATGCATCTTCCCACAATTTGGTAACATAAATTGGATCATTACATGATGTATAAAATTATCAAACAGTAAGAATATTAGCCGATATGTCACCAAAAATTGTTTTGATCATGTTTAAATCTTCAGACATATTTGAATTAAAAAAATTTCAAAATTAAATTTGGGGTCATCCAAACTCTAATCTTAGCAAATTTATTGTCAAATTGAACATCTTGAAAAGGCGAACCTAACGTCACCGAAATTGGTCTAATTCGCACCCAAATGGTCTCAAATCAATAGGTTGAAGGATGTTTAGAAGCTTCAAAATATTAATTGGGTGACAAATTCATATCCAAATACAACATGCTTATAGTTCAATCAAGAAGCTCAATGAGATGAATCCAATGAGCCCATAATTACTTAATTCTAACAAAATTGAGGAACCTAAATATTGAATGAATGATATATGTAAAGGGCATCAATATGGGTCATCCGATGGAATACTCTCAATTTTCCTCAGATCTTCTACTAATTTACGGAGTATGTCACTCTCAAAATCTATAAAAAGCCCCCACTCTTTATATGAAGGAGTCTTTTTGGAGGGGCTTGGACCTTTAGGCTAGATATTGAAGAAAACTATAAGATAAGAATCTCTTAGCACCACTGCAGGCAAACCCTAGCTGCCATACAGCCGCCACCAGACTTTTACTGGCGAATCGTCACCATTAGACCTCCGCCCAAACATCACCGTCTGACCTCCATCCAGCCGTCGCCGGCGAATATGTGCCAGACTATCGTCATCGACCATCAGCCACTGGAAGGTCTCCGCCTACCCTCTATCACTTGCTGACTATAGCAATTCCAACCTCGATCGTCTGACTATGCTCCCTTCGACCTTAGTTGACTGAATAAGTTCCCTTCGTCGTCAATCACCTGATTTCGATCCCTTTAATATATATCCTATGACTGCGATCCTCAGATCACTGTCATCAAAATGCGTCCCCTTCGACCACAGTCGTCTATCGACCATGGTCTTTAGGCCACAGTCACTAGTTGGCTACGGTCCCCAGACAACCATTACAAGATTATGGTCGCTTCGCCCTCTATTTCCTGACTATGGCCCCCCTTACATTTTTTGCTCGATTGTAGTTCTCTGACCTCCGTTGCCCAACTGTGATCCATTTGACCTTCGTAGTCCCCTGACTACGATCCTTAGAACATCTTCACCCTATTACGATCCATTCGACCATTCTTGACTGACTTTAGTCCCTTTGACCTCCATGGTTTGCTAACTATATTCCTCAAAGAACTATGATCCCTACGATCCTCCTTTCCCACAGACTATGGTCCATATGACCTCATATTCCTAACTACGGTCCGTCTGACACCGTCGCTTGATTGTGGTCCCTTCGACCTTTGTCGGCCAAAAACTAAGATCCCTCATACCTCAATCATCGAACTACGGTTCACCGAACACCATTGCCCGACTTCAACCCCTCTAATCTTCATCGCCCATCGACAACAATCTTTAGACACCATCGTCGTAGTATGTATGATCCTTCGAACTCCATCACTTGCTATGGTCCCTCCAACAACTGTTACCTAACTACGGCCCTGACAACTAAATGAGCATGCAAATGTTTATTAGTTATGTGTGAAATATGATTTTGATCATTCAAGTTGTATTGTTGCATGCCTCGAACCTTAAGTCAATTTATCGTACTCGCTATAGGGGAGCGTAAGGGGCTCCTTTCCTGAGTTGTCAAATATAAAATTTTCTTTCGTATATAACCCTTGTGTGGATTTGAAAGTTTTCATATAACACCATGCTATATGACCAAGAGAGATTTGCACTTCTTTCTCTCCATTTTCATAGTGGATTTCTTGGTGTGGTGTGGTTTTGTGATTTTTTTCATTTTCAAAAATTTTCACATTAAATCATTGTGTCCTTAACTTTTCGCTGCTTCTCAATTTTTTCTTAGACCAAGGTTGTTCTGTTAGAGTGGGAGCAACATAATACTCCAAATTGGAGTCGCAGCACTGCAAGGAAGACTGAGCAATTTTTTTCTTTCTCGTTTTTTCGCTGCGAGAACAGTGTAAGAGATAAGAGAAGCAAGGAGAGAGCGATAGAGAAGATAGATCTATACTTATTTCTCCTCTTTTTCATAGTGGATTTCTTAGTGCATTGTGGCTTAATGTTTTTTTTCCTAATTTTAGGTTATTTCATGTTTAATACTAGTGTCCTTTACTTTCCATTGTTTTTTATATTTTTCTTGTTTGTTTATTGCGGTGTTTACTTCCATCCCCAATAACATTCCTTTTAGAACATCTCTCATGTCATTGGATTTTATTTAACTCTCACTATACAATGTGTTATGTACGATGTATATTTGCTATATTATGCCAAAATTTTCCCCCAAGGAAAGGAATCAATTGTAACCAAATAAAAACATTAGTGGAATCATTTCTACTATGCAAGGCCTTGAGATTTTTTTTTCCTTATAATTTTTTTTTGCGTCTTATATGATTTTTGTACCCATCTCTTTTATTTGTGTGTGAGTTGGATCTTTATACAAAATTAGGACTTTATACTCTCTATCTCTCTACCATCAATAATGTTCCAGCACACAACATTACAGAAATTATTTTAAAAATAATTACGTTGCACTTATAATTTAATAAATTCTAGCATATATACATACAATTAAGATTTTCTGTTTCGTCTATATATTGATTTATATAAGCTTCACATAATTTCCCAAAAAAAAAAAAAAAAAGCTTCACATCAAGCAATGCAAAGTCTATGCAACTTAGTTGGCGCATTAATTTAGTTAACAAATAATTATAATTTTAATCCATCTCATTAAACTCATAGTGCGGTGCCCATGCTAAGTTGACATTTTAGGCACAATTTTTTTGAATTCAAAATTGAAAAGTAGTGTTGTGCACAGCCGCTAATTAATCCAATAGGCATACCGTGTGGGCCCAACTTGAGCGGAATATTCAAAAAAAAAAATTTCAGGAAATTCTTATCTAATCGTTAATTTATTTCAAGAACTATATAATATAAATTTTAATTGATTATTAGTGGAATCCTTTAATTTGTTGTTTTCTTCAGAATTTCATGTAAAAATTTATGCAATTGATTATTTATCTTTATTCATTTATTCTTTAAAAGTTAATAATTATATATTTCTAATAAGAATTAAAAATAATGTTTAAAAGAGCACAAATTTTAATATATAATAAATGAAGATGAAAGTTTCTTAAACAAAATTCTATAAGAAAATCCTGATCTGGTTTATTTAGTGCATATCTATCATTTTTTTTTCCTGTAGTTATTTACATTACTGACAAATGATTTTTACTTATGATTTTAAATAATAATAATAATAATAAATATACATAATGTTTTTAGAAAGAACGTAAAAAATAGTAAGATAGGAAGACAGAGAGGAAACAGAAGGAACTCACGATGATCTCAGCGATGACGCGCGGCTGGCGAAGGGGTCGGAGCAGGAAGGCGAGTGCACGGGTAACAACAACAACGAGAATGATCTGGACGATCGCCAGCGGCAGAGCGTAATGGAGCGGGTTTTCTCCTTGCCATGCTCCGTCCGATGTCGCCTTCATCGGCGCCGGACAAACTGCAGCCGCCGTAGCATTTCTTGCCGCTGCCATTGACGATTTTCCCCTTTCAAGATCGAATACCTCAACCGACCCAAAACTCAACTCGGAGAAAATCGATTTAGATTTCGTAATCCCAAGAGGAAGGAGAAGATGCGCTCAATCTATTGATAGATTATCTATTTGGCAGGAATAATTCATCGAGAAGAGAGAAAAAGGCATGAGATATAATTGGGGAAGGGAGAGAGGTCGGCAAGGAAAAACTTATAGTACCGTGATTTTTCTTGGTCAAAGTCGACCTCACGGTATCGAATTTTTAATAAAATGGTATTATTAAATTATATATATTTTAATTCTTTTAAAACATATAATAAAATTTCAAGAGAAGTGCTATAGAGGGTTTTTGAAAAAAAAAAAAAATAATAACCCTTATATTCAAATCATTAAAAATATGTATGCAAGAGCTATTACTTGTATTCAAACACAAAGTGGTTTGATCAAGTATTTTCTTATTTCAGTTGGATTACATCCAGGATCAGCCTGAATTTCATATCTTTTTATTTTAATCATGGATGTTCTTACTAGACATTTGCAATAGGATGTACCTTGGTGTATGCTTTTTGCTGATGATAATTTTCTTTTTGATAAGACTAGAGAGAAAGTTGAAGGTAAACTTGAATTACGGAGGTCAACATTAGAGTCTAAAGGTTTTCATCTGAGTAGATCTAAAATTGAATATATGAAATATAATTTTAATAGTAATAGATCTAGTGAGGGGATTGTGACTTTGGGCGATTAAGTTATTAATAAGAGTACATATTTTAGATATCTTGGATCTATTGTTCAGAGTGATGGTTAAATAGATGGGGATGTTATCAGTATAATTCAAATTGAATGGTTGAAGTTGAGGAATGTATCGGGCTTGTTGTGTGATAGAAAAGTCCCTCTCAAACTTAAGAAAAAATTATATAAGATGGTGGTGAGACTTGCAATGCTTTATGGTGTCGAATGTTGGCCAATAAAAGAGAAGCATAATATTAAGTGTTGCAGAGATGAGGATGCTTAAGTGGATGAGTCGCTTTACTTTAAATGAGCAGGTGTATAATTTTTTAAATAAAAGACAGCAAATGGACCTCAAAATTCAGAAATGAGCAAAATTAGAAAACCAAATTCTGGTTTTTAATAAACCGAATTTTTTTTTTCTTAATTAAACCGTTTTAATCCGTTATATTATAAATTTCCTGAAATTTTATGCATCTTTTAATTTTTTAATTAGTTTTAATTTTAATGGAATTATTAAAAAAAATGAAGTGCTTAGTTTTTAAAATTATATGTTAATGTAATTTGCAGTTAATTAGATTATTAAAAAGGTTTGGAATAAATTAAATTCTATTATTATTTAAAAATGGATTTCTTAATAAAATGTTTAAATTAAGCTATTAGTAATTTATTTATGTATAGTATTATTAAGGAGGTACAGATTATGATATTTTCGGTTTCTTAATAAACCCATTATGCATTATAATATTGTGATCGTTCTTGGACATACTAGACCTCTGATTTTTTAAAAACTAATATTACTAAATTATAGATAGTGGTCAGAAAGATAGTAGGCTGGCAATAGATGTCAAAAGGATCGTAGTCAGCAGGTGATAGTGATTAGGAAGATCGTTATCTAACGATGAAGGTCTAAAGGACTATAATCAGCGAGCAACAATGATTAGAAAGACTATTTTCTGGTGAAGGAGGTTGGATGGACCATAATCAGGTGGCGATGGAGGTCAAAAGTTCAGCGATGAGTAGAAGTCTGACATTAGGTAGATGTTTAATGATGGATAAAAGTCCAGCGTCAAATAGAAGTCCGACGAAAGTCCGATGACGAGTAGAAGTCCGACGACTAATGTAAGTCCGGCATTAGTTGGTGACCGGGAGGTGGTTGAGGAGGAGCTTAGTGGCAAGAGAAATCTCTGATTTCCCATCCTCGTATCTCTTCTTTTCCTCCTTGCTTCGGACCCACTACTTCCTCCTTCGACCTCTCCCCGAATGAAGAATGACGGGTCTATTTATAGTTTTCTAAAAGTGGCGTGCCCAGTGTTGAGATAGCTGCTACTTAGTTCTTGCATGTTTGATATTCTTGCAACTTGTATATTTTTTATGATTTCAAATATTATTGCTTTGATTATTATTTTTCCTAACATATTTTAGAAGAATTATTTTGCTCTTGTGTGTGTTAACATTTCAGAGAAATTATACTCCATATTGTTGAAGACTTCAAATCAAGATTAGTTTAGAGTTTATTGTAATTGAAGTATGTATTTTCCATTTTATTGAGTCCGAGAGAGTGTGATTGTAATTGAGTAACTGAGCACACACTCACCAGGGGAGAGTTTAAAAATCATATTTTTTAAACTGATCATATTGTATGATATCTGTTCGTATCGGACGATCTAATTAGTTTTTTTTTTCTCGACGAGCAGTCGAATGAATAGAATAGAAATAAAAATTTTTTAAGTATGGATCGTACTGTACGAACCTAGTTCGTATATGCCTTCCAGAGTATGAAATGGACGGGTCCTTATTCGCTCAAAAATATTTTTTTCTACGTATGGATCGTGTGGGATGATCACAGTTCGTACATGCTTTCACGAGTATGAAATTGACGGGCCTGTTCTCGCTCAAAAAATTTTTTTTCTAAGTATGGATCGTACTATACAATCCCAGTTCGTACATGCCTTCCAGAGTACAAAATTGTGAGGTCCCATTTCATCCCGATGTTTCATTTAGACAAATTTAAAAAAATTATAACTAATCATACCGGGCGATGAAGTTATCGTAAGTACGCCATCTAGAGTATAAAATATTGGGGTTCTTTTTCGTACAAATGAATTTTGAAAATGTTAAGAGAGTTGCTATTTGTATGTTTTACATTTTTGCAACTTGTATTATTTTGATGATTTCAAATATTATTGTTTTATGTATAGATATCTCCTAACACTTTTTGGAAGATTTGTTTTTGCTCTAATGTGTACTAACATTTCAGGAAAATCAACTCCAAACTATGAAGACTTCAAATCAAATTCAGAATCCAATCATTTGTAAATTAAAAGCTTTAATAATGTTTTTGAATTGAGAGGGAGTGATTGTAATTGAGTGAATATTCACAACACACACATTTGGGTGAATAATTTTTGTGAACTGATCGTACGGGACGAACATAGTTCGTACGGGACGATCATGTCAATTAAACCCTTGGAAGAGCAATGAATCGAACAGGCAGGGAGAAAATTTTTTCTAAGTCCTATTCGTCCAGACGAATTTAATATTCGTCCCGGGATGAACGCCTCTGGATTCTCACTTTGCACTGTTCGTCCAGACAAAATGCATGGTTCGTCTCTGGATGAGATTCTCTGTTTAAAATCATCTAGGATGAAATTTAACCTTCGTCCCTAGACGAAACTCTCTGTTTAAAATCGTCCAGGATGAAACTTTTTTGTCCTAGGACAAACCGAACCGACTTACCTCAGTTGATTACGTCTTGCAGGGATTTGGAAACTGACCTATGGAATAACTGTTTCGTACCGGACGAACCTAGTTCGTACGAGACGATGATCGTGTACGAACATAGTTCGTACCAATATACATTAGATTCGTTTCTGACACTTTAAGTAAAATCGTCCGAGATGATCCACGATCGTATGGGATGATCCACTGCGTACAGAATTGAAAATTTGCAGTTTTTGGGCAATTTTTCTTGTCTTTCCAATATATAGTCCCAATTAGACTGTCACCTAATCTTTTTGGTCATTGATCTTCGTGCATATTGAAAGAAGACTTAAGGAGAGAGTGAGAGAGAGCATTCAAAGAAGAATTTCTTCCACTGGAGCGTAAAGGCTTTACTTGGTGTTCAATGGTAAGACTTCCTACTTATGATTTGAGATTACTTCACTCTTTTCTTTCTTCTTTATAGATTTCTTGTGAGAAGATCTGTCAAGGAGATCAGGTTCTCTGCCCACACTAGGAGAGTGTGAAAGGATGATTGGTTCTCTACCCACACTAGGAGAGTGTGAAAGGACGAAGGGTTCTCTGCCCACACTAGAAAGAGTGTGAAAGGATGAAGGGTTCTCTGCCACACTATGAGAGTGTGAAAGGATGAAGGGTTCTCTGCCCACACTAGGAGAGTGTGAAAGGATGGACGGTTCTCTGCCAACACTGGGGATAGTGTAAAAGGACGACGGTTCTCTGTCGCACCGGGTAGTGGTAGAAAGAGTGTTTGTAAAGGCTTCTCCGCGTTGCTGTGGGAGCAAAAGGAGAGACACTATTGGTATTAGTGCAATACTCAGAGGGTACCTCTAGGGAGTGGTTGTAGGTCTGGTTTAGATCGAATCAACTAATAAATCTTGTGTCATTTTTATTTTTTTATTTTTGCATTTAACTGTTTAAAAAGTTGTGGTTGAAAATGAAAGTTCGTTAGGATGTTAAGCCCTTATGAACTTAGTCCCAATCTAACCAAGAGGGGGGGGGTGAATTGGTATTTTAAAATTTTCTTTTCACAAAGAATAAAATCACATAAACCAAAATCACACCACAAAAATAAATGCGGAAAAATAAAAGTGCGGAAGCAAGAAAATAAGAACACAGGAATTTATAGTGTTCGGTCAGCTCGACCTACGTCCACTCCTTGGAGGCACCCTCAAGAGTGCAAC